AAAGGCAGGTGAATCATCATCCACCACCTTGTTAAAGTGATATTAAAGTTAAAAGGATTTTAAGCTATTTCAAATGCTGTTGGAATCACTTACCATGGATGGTGCACTGGTCCCGACTTCCTGTTTTAGATTGCCTCCTTTCTCAAGCAGAGTGCTATGGAGTCACCCTCGTGCGTGCTAGTAAGCTGTGTGTGTCTCCACAAACACACAGACAAAGCAAGGCAAGCTCTCTTTCCCCTGCCCCCCACTCCTTCCTCTCTCCTCCATTCTCCAACTATTAGATACAGTTGCTGGAGTCTGCACTGTCCTTTGTGATCCTGTGCTGGGCAGGAAGTGCAAGAAAGCAGAGCTGAGAAAGTTGGAGCCAGTTGTTCAGAAACAAGATGACTGTAAGTGTTTGGGTAAAAATTTATTGTAAAGCAATGCTTTGCTGGGCAATGTATATTTATTTGATCTGGATTCATTATTGAAAAAAAGTTTGAGTTTAATACTACTTTAAGGCAAGACCATGGTAAAAACCTCAGCTCAGAGGGCAGAGGACCCAGCCACAGCTGAGTGAGCTTAAGAGGACTCTGAGGAGGAGAGAGACTCTAACTTCAGAGAACTACATGACTCTAGGCAGCAGATGTCAGCACTATCCCTAGGTGCGCTGCAAGCAGCTTCCTACTCATTAGTGGATAGTCTAGAATCAGGCATGTTGTAGCCACAGCTCAATTAGGCACATATAGACTAAAGATAAGGCAAGGAAGGCACACAACATGGAAAAGGCTGATTGCAGATGAGGGTTAGTGACCAGAGGATCAGATGGCAGGCGGTGACCAAAGTCACTCTAGGCAGGCAACAGGAACAGAGCAAAGTACCATGTGACTCTTTGCAACAGGATCAGTAGCAGGGATATGTTTCCTTGATGCTGTATGGTGGGAAAGAGAGCGTGGAGTGTGCATATGACACTCCGCCTAGCAGATGACATCAGCGCTCAGTCCCACAGAGTTAACCCCTTTGCAGCACAACTGGTGGGAAACAGAGAATAATGGCATCCAGCGACCAATACAACTGAGGGCGTCATCGCACTGTTCTCACAACTGAATGGCAAAGTGACAGTGACTCTTCAAAGAAAACCAGTAGTGGGCTAATATAGAGGCTACCATTTCTAACCACTTCACCTTCTCATTATTAACCCAAGATTGACATTCAAACGAAACATTTACAAGGTTATTCACAAAAGGGTGGAGAGTTTGGAGAAGGCAGGAGAAGTGAACAATCTAGGACAACATAGCTAAACTGGAAAGTGAGCAGAATTGGAGAATTTTTCCACATCAGCTATGTTGTCCTAGATTGTTCACTTCTCCTGCCTTCTCCAAACTCTTCACCCTTTTGTGGATAACCCTGTTAGGCTGGAGTTGGGCTTAAAGGTAAATTAAAAAAGCACACCTTAAATCACAAAAATGGTTTTCTCATAACCAGTGCCTTATCTTGTCCTCAAAGTTCTCTGAGCTCCACTGGCAGTAGCAAGTTTAGGGTTTTATAACCTATAGAGCACATTTACTATGTAATTTATGATTATGTGATACATGTGACACAATATGTGCAAGTTTTACGGGAAAAAGTACTGCTAGAACTATTGCACGACATGCCTGTATTTTTGGCATCTCTGTAGACTGCTTGGAAGAGCAGTGAACCAATCAGGAGTGCAGTTGATGGTATAATCAGGCATTTTGTTCAACCATCCGTAGTTCTTAAAAAGAGAAATGTAAAAATCGGACTGCAGATTTAAATGGAAACAGTAGAGTTGTGCTTTTAAGAACAATTAATTGTGGCAATTTAACTATCCCACTGAGAAAACCATTTGCTTTTGTTGGCTTACAGGATGTTTTTGTGCCAAAACCGGCACTTGCGTCCTAGTCGTAATTCTGGCACATGACATTGTGGGGATGCAATGATACCAGTACCATGGCTCGTACTTCTGAAAATGCCTGAATACTAAAAACCGACACTGGCGCTTTCAATTTTTAAACTTAAACGGCTGCCTGAGGTCCCACGCTTGCTGTGACCCTAGCAGCAGCCTTCTGGGGAATCACACAACACTGCTTACAGTGCTTCTGCTGCCCGCACATCTTCCCCTGCTGAGACCCGCCGCATGCCTTCTGAGACCCACCGCACCCCTCCGCTGGAGACATCAGGCCGGCACCCTTGGAGCAGCACCACGTATGTAGCAACATATTATTCAGCATTTCTGTATATTGTATTGCTAGGATTTGTAGTCCTCTATAGCCGGTTGCCATTTGGCATTGCTGTATAATGTATTGCTGGGATTTGAAGTCCTCTATAGCATATAATATGATAATACCATCAGCTATAGAGGACTACAAATCCCAGCAATACATTATACAGCACTGCCGAATGGCAACAGACTATACACTGAGTGGCCAGATTATTTTGGCCACCTTTTATGCCCACCCCATCAGTACTTCGTTGGGCCACGAGATGACTTAGATGGGCCACTTCATGACTCCACAAGATGTTGAAAGGTGATGCGAGGAATCTGACACTGCACTGTTGCCCTTCTGTTGTCTTGTACCAGTCTTGCCACTCTCCGTTCTGCCCTAACATTGACTAGTCGCTGATGGCCACAATTCACATGTTCAGACCCAGATTTTCGGCTGACAGTCCAGTCTTTAAACACTTTAACAACAGATGCTCTTGAACATTTAACGAATTCTGCTGTTTTGCTGATACTCGCTCCATGGCTCCGAGCGCCAACAATCATCCCACGTTCAAAGGCTGTTAAATCGCGTTATTTACCCATATCTTCAGAAAAAAATCACTTCTACTGTCGTGGTAAACAACCTGCTTCCCTATTTATAATGGTCTGGCCCTCTAGCAATTTCAGCGCAAAATTATAGCTAATTGTAGCTAATTTGCCTACAAACGTCAGGTGGTCATAATAATCTGGCCACTCAGTGTAGAGGACTACAAATCCGAGCAATGCATTATTCAGCAATGTAGAATAATACTATTATTTTGCATTGCTGGCATTTGTAGTCCTCTCTAGCTGGTTGCCATTTGGCATTGCTGTATAATGTATTGTTTAGATTTGTATTCCTCTATAGCCGGTTGCCATTCGGAATTTCTCTATAAAACATTGCTATAAAAAATCTCATCAGAACGTTCAATAATGCTGTCAGAGACTTGACAAATGTCCTTCACAAACTCATTTAATCGTCATTTTTAATTTAACATTTGATTTTAGAATGAATGGAGTTTCCCACATTCACTGTTAGAATTTTGTTAGATCGTGAAATATTTTCCAGCATGCTCCTTTTATTTTTTTTTTCATCACTGCAGTCAAAATTGATCATGAATTTGACCCTATCAACTATTATAAAGTCGTATCAGCAGTCAAAAATTGATTTCATTCATTAGGAATTTGTTCACCCTACTTAATATAGCATCCTGCTCTCCTTTCCCAGTCACTGCCCTCCCTCATTTTGCTTACACAGCAGTTCACAGGCAAAATCAGACAGACGATCTGTTACTTTCTCTCCCACACTTTCCACACTACTGGAAACAGAATGTAATGTATTACAATTAGTAGTGATCAACAGAACATGTGATATATTAAAATCTGTAGTTGGCAGGGGGTGAAATGAAGAACATTAACAAGTGAGAGGCACCCAGGCTCCTAAACTGAAAAAATGCACATCTGTCTCCTCTCCCACCTTTTCTTGTAAATCTACAGCTGTTGGAAGTTGTAGTTTACATCTACAGCTACAGAAAAGAATATGCAAGGTACAGAACATGCACAGTTATCAGCCTTTACTCATTTTTGCATAGGAATAGAAAGAGGATATATCCCTTACCTTAGTCCCCTCCCTGGCAGGCTCCGACACTCCCTGAAGCCCCAGGTTGAGGGCAGGCCCTCGCCATATGTGAGCTATTGCAGGGCTATTAGTCCTGCATTGTATGTGGCCGGGAGTGCCTTAGAGAAGAGGCTTTGCAAGACTGGCCACAAAGATGGAGGGAACCTCCTGAAGCAAGGAATAGGGTGACTATTACAGCCTTTTCTTCTACCCCGTGGCAATACTGGGGGTGTGACCACTAAAGGGTGTGGCCACTGAGGGGTGTGGTCACTGAGGGGCGCTGTAAAGCTTTCTCGCACAGGGCGCCTAAAGGCCTAAGGCCGGCCCTGCAAATAAGTAGCAGTTAACCCTTGCCGGGGAGGGGGGGGGCATCTAGAGTCTAACGATAAATACAGGGGCATCCTTAGTGTTTTTTCCTGCCGAGCTACTGGCACCCAATGACGTCACCGGTTGCCAGGACCTTGGCGGGACGCCGACAAGAGTATCCCAGGTTGCCAAGAGCCGGGTGGAGACGTGTATTGCCCTTACACATCTCCTAGCCTGGCTCTTAGCAACTTGGGGTGCTGTGGCTGAAAAGTGGGTGGCAGGCACACTGCAAACATTGTGCAGCTCTGCATGAAGCCAACCCCACGGGGGCTGCCTGATTATCGGGACAACCCTGGGTAGAGAAAAAGGATGTATTCCTTCCTTATCCCTCACTCTGGTAGCCTCTGACACTCTCCTCTTCTCCCTGACACTCAGTGTTGGGGGTGGGCCCTCACCATATGTGAGCTATTGCAGCGTCCTGCATTGTATGTGAGGTGGTGTGCATGTGACCGTGGCCAACAGTGCCTTAGTTTAAAAAAAAAAAAGGGCATTTACCCCTTTCAGTGAGGGAGAGGGGTACTGCGAGGGTAATTTTCATTAAATTGAGATTTAAGAATCAGTAGTGATAACTTTCTGCCCCGTGTGACCGCACCAACACATCCACCTTCACATGTAGAGTGTCCCCCATAAGTCTCTGTACAGCTCACCTTCGGAGTCAATGCTGCAACTTGTCTTGTGTGTCACTCTCGGCAGCGTGTACCTACCTCCCGCCTGCCGGGACTGACCCTCTCCCCGCCTGGCCATGTGTCACTCACTGCGGAGCTCTTACCTGGCGGCGCTGAGGCGCTGGGGCGGCAGTGTGTTCCTCAGGCGGCACTTCTTGCTCCCCACAGTGCTGCTGTCCGCCGAATCCTGCTGTGTGAGGACCGAGCAGCGGGAACTGTCCGGCGCTGTGCAGTCCGAAGGCGAACCCTTAGTAGTCGCCTTGGCTTTAGAGCCGCTGTATCTCATGGTGCGAGGGGGCACCGCATGCCAGGCTCAGCAGGCAGTGCAGTGACTGCTTGACACTTGAGGGGAGGCTGCGGCAGCTGACGAGCACAGGCGACAATACGAAGGTGGACTCTCCAGCATCCCCTCAGCACTGGCGGTGTGGTGACCCTCACAGACCCCAGAGAAGGGCTGCATCTCGAGCTGGCCACAAAGTTCCTGCTCCTGTCAGAGCCAAAGTCATGATAGGTCTTACACCATCTTCTTCTCTGCTAATATGTGTGCTTTGTTCCTCAGAAGTCACAGCAAAGATGAAGGGAAGCTTGCAGGGGCATGAACACTGCCAATAACATGTCATCTATGGCACCACAAGTAGAAGTGGGTGATGGTAGCAAGTCACAGTGGGTGTGGAGTGTCTGTTAGCTGTGGAAATGGGTCAAAATCAGGAATAAAAAAAATTACTCTTTAATAGGAGAAAGAAATACAAAAAAAAATGACTCAAATCCTAATGTAGGTGGTTTGCAGATGGGGTTTGATAAAGGAAAGCTCGCTGGCTGCCAGGCACAAGTGCAGGAAATGTTCCACTGACCTACATATTTTCCCAAACATACGTGACCTTTTTTTTCTGCTGTGTGGGAGGAAACAGGGAGGATCCAAGGGAGCCAGAGAAGGGAGAATGAGAACACAGCACAGGCAGCTTTCTGCTATGGCTGGGAGCAAATGACAGCACAAGATGGGCATTTTACTAAGCATTCCCTTCTAGCTGATACAATGTCACCCTAAGCTGCTCACAAGAGCCTACACTCTATCAGGGATCACGCTACACTGTAAGACTGTCATCGCATGGTGACGGGTAAACTCTTGCCAACAGCTGGCTTGTTTGTGATGGACCGAGGCAGTTGTCAACAAGGGGTTAAAGCTCACGTCGCCTCACGGTTCTATAAATATAGCGGAACCAGATGCAACTTAAAAGAGAATGCAGATATGATGAAGCGTGTTAACACAGCAGCGTTTGTTTTTCTGAGTATTACCTGTTGATCCTTTCTGTAAATCCATCTATGATGGAGGTCAAAACTGAGCAGAATGGATCTATGTTAGATAGATGAAAGTAGTCACTCGCACTCCATGATATTAAAGTCAATGCTGTTTATTGACTGAGATACTAAGGAGATGTGTTATCTCAGTCAATAAACAGCATTGACTTTAATATCATGGAGTGCGAGTGACTACTTTCATCTATCTACATTTCACGGAGGCATCCGTTGTCACCACCGCACCCACCCAGTTGGATTTGGGTTTTTGTCCGGTCAGGAGTGCGATGGGACAGGAGGATTATGGATCCATGTTAGGTCTATGGGGAGGGAGTCAGATGTAAACAGACGTGTGCATTTACATCAGATTACCTCCGATCTCTCATGATCAGGTCCACCAGAACAGAACTGTTCTGGTTTGGTTTTTCCGGACCTAGACGGGAGCGGTAAACGGGTGCACATCAGTTTAGATCTGGCTGCACGTAGAGTAAAGCTGGCCATACACTGTAATATATTCTTTGTTCAACCTGCGGGCTAAACAAAGAAGATATAACCGATTCCTCCATCAACGCTTATGAATGTTGATGGAGGAATCTCCTGCTGCTGTCCTCAATGTATTCGATGGCGGCCACCAGCCGCTATCAGAATACTTGAACAGAGCTGGCAGCTGATTGGCTGCCGACTCTTTTTGTTTGAACATTTTCTCGACCAACACCTTCGGTCAGCTGATCGAGGGATGCCGATGCAAATTTTATCCGGTTCATCAAAAAGCAACTGAATTTCGCATTGTATATGGCCAACTTAACATTGGGCTTCCAATGAAATCGCCTGAAAGGCTGATCTGATCGCCTGTCTCAAAGGGGCCTAACAAGGTGACACACTGTACTTTGTGCTGTAAAGTTGCACAGCTGCGGTGTCACCCTGAGGACAGAGTTGACTGAGATGGGCCTGTGGTTTTAAATGCGCTTTGAGTAAGACAAATTACTGTCTCACTTTTGTAAGCAGGCCTTATCTCTTCTGTCAAAGCGCCAGTGTATAGCCAAAGCTATACTATTGGTGCTCAGTAAACCAGTACATTGTAAAGAAAAGTGAGACAGATAGGGGCTGTCATAGGCCTCTTGCACTTATCTCATTGTAAGCCAGCTGATTTTATATACTTCGTTTTTTCAGGAGTTCTTTCTCCAGCTAATCATTTTATACAGTGATTGTTCTGCCTCCGTCATAACAAATGATTAAGTTTATCTACCTGAAATATCGAAACCAGCCACAAGATGGAGTTATAGAGAAAACCTCTATATTTAAAGCAGCTTTAGGATTGGTTTCCTTTAATAGTAAAAACTTTTAACATCCTGTCGAATTGTAAGAACGGTGTGAGCGGGGCCGGTGTACGCACATAGGGTCTTGCCTATCCAAATAAATTGTGCGCATCCAGAGTGAGACCACTTGACAGATCCTCGTCATCTCGCCGTAAGTCAACATATCCTAAGAGAGTGGCACCACCTCCACCGTCCCCAATAGCGACACCAAGCAAGAAGCGACAAGTCACACCCCACATACCTGTGCGTCGTTATCGGCCAGGAACAAGCGCACTCATGGAGATTTGAAAATATGAAAAGTAAACATATCTGTTAATAAGAAAAGCCCCCTACGCCAGACTGGTGAGAGAAGTCTGCATGGAGTTTACTTGTGGCGTGCCATAAATGTGGCAAAGTATGGCAATTATCGCATTACAAGAGGCAGCTGAAGCCTTTCTGGTGCGACTCTTTGAAGATTCTTCCCTCTGCAGTCTGCACGCCAAAAGGGTCACCCTCTTTGTGCAGGACATGCAGCTCGCTCAGCTGTAATGTAATGTAATGTAAACAACTACATTAAACAACCTTGCCTTTAAAAACTTCCAACATCACTCTGCCCAAAGAGAAGGAAACAAGTGCACCTTGGGAGATCAGGTTCTATTTTAGAAAGAAGAATGAAAAATCCACTGCCATCCGCAGCAGGAGGAAAGAGCCCAAATCTCTGTTAGGCAGCATTGCTAGTATGAAGGGACTGGTTTATCTCCGTATTTGTGAGTTGACACTATATTTACATGTTTTATATACCAGTTGTATGTTTCTATGTTCTTTTACCAGTTTCACCCCACCTTGTTTTGTTAATCAAGCAAGATTTCACCCAGTCTGGCTTATTGCAGATTAGGAGGATTTAGCTGTATGTCAAGCTATTCAAAAGCCACAGGGCAATATGTAGCAGGGACAGAACAGTTAGAGCAACAGTTATTTCCTTTAGGAAAAAGGTTAAACTGTTGTCTGTCTCCGCCAGCTCCACCATCTTGGATGTCTCGGAGGCGCCGCTGGAAGAAGGTAGGATTGCCCTTCTCGTCGGGTTCGGCCGAGAAACAAACCTGTCCATGTATGTGGATGACTCGTTCTGGTGATTCCGGTGATTGCAGAGCGTTGTGAGAGAGCCGAACGGTGCACTCGATAACTGTACGGGACGGAGCGATGTTGCACACGACTAGCACATTGGGCGCCGGAACCGGAAGTCCCCTATAGTTCTTAGTGCAGGAGCATCAGATTTATAGAATTACTCACTTGGATTCTCCAGCATCAGTAGGAGAAAAAAATGCTCCTACATCAATGGTCAGTATGAGTAATCAATGCCCCTACATCAATGGTTGTTAGGAGTAATCAATGCCCCTGTGTCAGTAGTCGTTAGAAGTTATCAATGCCCCTGCATCAGTGGTCATTAGGAGTAACCAATGACCCTGTGTCAGTGGTTTTTAGAAGTAATCAATACCCCTGTGTCAGTGGTCCATAGAAGTAATCAATGCCCCCATGTCAGTGGTCCATATAAGTAATCAATACCCCTTTTTCAGTGGTCAGTAGGAGTAATCAATGCCCCTGTGTCTGGTCAGTAGGAGTAATCAATGCCCCTGTGTCAGTGGTCAAGAGGAGTAATCAATAACCCTGTGTCAGTGGTCCATAGAAGTAATCAATGCCCCTGTGTCAGTGGTCCGTAGAAGTAATCAATGCCCCCATGTCAGTGGTCCATAGAAGTAATCAATACCCCCTTTGTCAGTGGTCAGTAGGAGTAATCAATGCCCCTGTGTCAGTGGTCAGTAGGAGAAATCAATGCTCCTGTGTATGTGGTCAGTAGGAGTAATCAATGCCCCTGTTTCAGTGGTCAGTAGGAGTGATCAATGCCCCTGTGTCAGTGGTTGTTAGGAGTAATCAATGCCCCTGTGTTAGTGGTCAGTAGGAGTAATCAATGTTCCTGTGTCAGTGGTTGTTAGGTGTAATTAATGCTCCTGTGTCAGTGGTCAGTAGGAGTAATCATGGCCCCTGTGTCAATCACTGGTAGGAGTGATCAATGCTCCTGTGTCAGTGGTCAGTAGGAGTAATCAATGCTCCTGTGTATGTGGTCAGTAGGAGTGATCAATGCTCCTGTGTCAGTGGTCAGTAGGAGTAATCAATGCCCCTGTGTCAGTGGTTGTTAGGAGTAATCAATGCTCCTGTGTCAGTGGTTGTTAGGAGTAATTAATGCTCCTGTGTCTGTGGTCAGTAGGAGTAATCATGGCCCCTGTGTCAATCACTGGTAGGAGTGATCAATGCTCCTGTGTCAGTGGTCAGTAGGAGTAATCAATGCCCCTGTGTCAGTCACTGGTATGAGTGATCAATGCCCCAGCGTCAGTGGTTGGTAGGAGTAATCAATTCTCCTGCATCAGTGGTCAGTAGTATTAACCAATGTCTTTGCATCAGTGGTCTGCAGGAATAATCAATACCTCTCTGTCAGTGGTCGGTAGGAGTAATTTATGTCTGGCATTAGCGGTTTAAAAACTATGGAGTACAATGGAGGAAACTAATTAACAGTTTTTACTACACAACTAAACTGCAGAATTTAGCAATTTTGGGAGATCAGTTGGCCAGTTGTGTTACTGAAGGTCTCTTGTCTAGCAGTTGACTTTTTTATTAATTGATGACAACAAGCAGGTCAATTCTATTAATTATTAGTAGCACTTTTGAACTACAACCCCGCAGAAAACGCAAACGCCATGTGTGATTGGAGCCTTCAAGACAGGGACTAATTTAGATCTTCTAGGAATCTGTCAGGTTCAAAAATGTGTCTTTACTCTCAATATCCTGAACAAATATACTTCTTATCAAATTTTTATATCTTTAGAAAAAGTAGATTGTCTGAAGGCGGCCATAAACCTTCGCTGACAAGTAAACCGGGAAGGTAGTTAAAGAGAAACAAATGGCAAATGCACTCAT